TGCTCTGTTTAAGGTGAACTTGATGCAAATGCATATTTGCCATATGTTTGCACTGATTTAACAAGACTGTGGGTTTGAAAATGTGAAGCTGGATGTGGGATTCAGGGCAAAAAGGAATCCTGTCAAGGAGAGTGTGCCCCCCTGCTGTTGCCAGGGGTGGGTCACGTTAGTTTGTGGGTGTTATTGTCTAGCAGATGCTTCTTCGTTTCACTGAACTGAAAGTTGTAGGGAAAGTCTTTATGGTTTAGTATATGGTTCTCATGTATTAAAAAATGTGCAAACGATTTTGTTTGCTTTAATAATCTCAGTGAGGGACATTGTTTTGAGGGTGTTGCTGTGAGCTTTACTTCAGAGACATCAGGTATGGAGGTGGTGCGCCTTGTGTTTAACAAGGCAAACCCTCACAGGTGAGCTGAGGAAAGTGCTTTATCTCCTTTCCTACACTCACCTCAGGCAACTTTTAAAAGCTCTGCTGCCGAGACACTCTTTAAAAAAAAGTACAACTCCGTCAAGTTTGAATTTTATTCCAGGGGATTACTTAGGTGCTTTTTTGGCCAGTAGCAATCTGGGGAGATTTGTCAGAGCTCAAAACTGGCATTATTTTGCAGCCAGGTCCATCAGCTTTGATTAGAGGGGAGTGCACCACCCTGGTACCCGATTGCAGCATGCTTTGTTGAACTCAGCCAGGTGGGAAGCAAACACACTGCTGGTCTCCTGACCTCACTGCTCTTTCAGGCTTAATTGTTGAGCAAAGCTTCTCTCATTTACTGCTAAGAACCTGCAAACACTTGGAATGCAGTCCATATTTCTCAAACTGCAGTCTTCCCTTTACAGTGGCCGGTGAACTGTGTTCATAATTACTGTGCTGTTGGATTGTGCAATCTCTTCTGGGGGTTGGCCAGAGCTGGGTTGCTGAAGAGGCAGGTTTCATATAATACACCTTACATGAACCAAGGGTCTGGGTCAGGTGGAGTGGAGGGGCCAGAGAGCTCTGTAAAAATCCAGAAGGAGGGGGATGAGGACAGAGGAAGTACATGGAATAAGCACAGCACAGTGGTTCTTCTGGTTCTGGGCTGATGCTCACTTGTGTTACTTACCTTGGTAACACATTTTACAGTTTATTTTTATCACAAAGGGTTGTTTGTACAGAAGTTTGAACACATTAAAATTTTGTTCCTGTGGGTGCCTTGTCGCTGGATTAGCAGGTGTTTGTAAACAGCAGTGTCAATCTTTTGTTTCTGTTTTGATTTGAAAAAGTTACTCTTGTTTTCATCTTCGTAGCTGGAGATCAAATCCCATGGAAGGCTCGTTATATGCAAAATAAAAACTTTTAATTGCTTCTCATGACTGTTATTTAATACATGCATCCAACTGAGATAGTTTCTGTTTTGGGATTATGCACAGCACAGCATAGTGGGCACAGTACTGATTCAGTACAATTCTTACATACTGGCTGTTCTCAGAGTGTGTGAGCACAATGGTTGTTCCTTACAGGAGGGTATTTTATGTACTTTGGTGGTGGATACCACTCTGGTATTGGATGTATTTTATCAGAAAATAAATGCTGCTTTGGTGGTTGGATTTTCCTAAGGCTTACAGAAAAACCTCAGAGGTTTTACTTCTTTTTAAAGGAGTAAGGACAGTATTAGACTTCTGTAATAAGCAGCAGTTTATTTGTTGTTCAGAACTGATTTAACCATTGGCTACTGGATGTTTAACCACTGGCTACCTGGCTACTGCCAGGACCTAGATAAAGCTCTCTAGCAATAATGTGTTAAAGGCAGCAATTGATAACTTATTGGGCATAATTTAAGAGAGAAAAAGACACACAGTTTCATTCCGTTAGAGGGTGAATTATTCAATGAGTGGCAGAAGCAGGGATTAATGATCGGGCTAGATCTTGAAGCATGTGCATTCTTAAAAATAGGCAACAAGAGACCTCATCCCTGAAATCAGGCTTGTGTTGTTTCAGGAGTGGATGTCAGCATGAATACACATCTCAAAGCAGTGAAAATGACACTGAAGAACAGAGAACCCGTACAGCTGGAGACGCTGAGTATTCGAGGGAATAATATCCGCTACTTCATTCTGCCGGACAGTTTGCCTCTGGATACTTTGCTAGTGGATGTTGAACCAAAAGTCAAATCCAAGAAAAGAGAAGCAGGTTAGTTTGTGCTTTCCTGTGTTTGTTCTGACTTTGTATGCGGTTTAGTCCTCTGAATCTGAAGACATCTGATTTGAGTGTCTTAATGTCTGCATTTGGTGTCTAATTCCTTCCTCTTTGAGGGTTTGATACTGTACTGGCTTAATCTGCTTTTCCCACCTTCTTGACATCTGCAGAGCGTTCATTCACACGAAATTATGCATATGGCTTTTCATGCATCTGATTTTAAAAATGTAAATGTTTTTCATCTTGAGTAAATCTTAACCTATCTCAGTCTCACAGTTGGCAACAGAGATTTACACTTCTCTTCTCCGAGTGTCTGCTGGGTTTCCCCAGTTTGTGTGGGGAGCTTCACATAGACTAATAAGAAAGTACAGGACAGTGTCTCAAACAGTACTGAATGGTTCACTGAAATTTGGTGGTGGATAAAAATGGTATCTCTGAGAACTGGATTTGAGAGACTTGAGAACCTGAAGGAGTCTAGGCTGTATATTCCAATGAGCAGATGTCTGACTTTGGTTCCCAGTAGTGTTCCACTCTGCTCTTCCTGAAACTTTTTTCTCAGAAAACTGTTGAACAAAAACCTTTTCCTTAGAAGCCAAACATTATAGAGAGCAATTCAGTTTTAATCCAGCAGTTAGTCTGTGTATTTTTAAAATAGTAAGCCTGTGAGTGAAAGCTAATTGTGCTCTAAAGTAATGTTGTACCCTTTCTCCTGCAATTAGTGTGTAAGTGTTTGGATCTGCAGTGTGTTATGCATTAGTGTGCTCACCTTTCTGACATGGTGTGAGGAGCCCTTGGATGCATCACCAAGTGCAAGCGCTGTGGCTGTTGTCTCTATAGAGAATACAGATAAAACTCCCAAGGGGATTTTGCTCCTCTCAGGTCCATTAAAAACAATCTGACCACATGGAGAAATGAGTGTGATTGGATTGCTTTTTTTTCCTGAACCCCACAGTGTTTGGTTCTTTGAGGGAAGCAGCCGTGATAGCCCCAGTTACCTCCGTTTGATGCTCGCTGCATCCACAGGGTGCGGAAGCACTCTGACTGCAGCTGTGTTGTGCTGCCTTAATCCATAAATGCTCTTCAGCTTCGAGAGTGTAAAGCCCATGGTCTGTCCTTGGCAAGTGGAATTGTCAGTGGAAGGCAGGATACTGGCTGTGCTTGTATGTGGCACATGTGCCTTGGGTCCGGGTGTGCTGGCGCTTAGCAAATGCAGCTCTCTACTGTGCACGTAGCTGCTGCCATCGTTTAGTCAGGTGTTGAGACTTCCATGGAAATTACAGAGTCAGTCTGTTATCAGCAAAAAAATGACACCTTGCTTCTGTGAAATTTGCCTTGTGCCTCTGCTCTTTCTGTCTTTGCTGCATTTGTGACCTACATGCCAGAATAATCCACGCCTGCTCCGTGAAGGGGTGTTAGTGTGTCTCTCTTACCGAGCCACCCATTTCTGCAGAGTTTTTAGTATCTTTGTGAGCCCTGCACTCACAGACATGTTCGAAATGAACCAGTTATTTCTTAAGTTTGTAGGGTGGCCTAGCAGCTGGGTGGGTCAAGTCATGTTTCTTTAGGAGAAACGGGTGCAGTGGCACGTTATCACTGTATGGATCACGTGACCTTGATCAGCAGTTGCAGCTTGAATTACCCTGTGCTTCTGTCTTCCCTTTACCATTAAATAGCAGTAATTAAAACCGGGGGCACACAGCCAAGACCTTGGCCTCAGAGTCACGTTTGAAGTGGGCAGAGGTATCACTGAACATAGCTGTTTGGTGGTGGGATCCCTTCAAAATGCCGCCCTTCCACATGGTGCCTGAGAATGGTGAGCTTGGGAATCACACCATGTTAAAACTCTCATTTCCCCTAAGCAGAGTATTTCATAAACCACAATGAGAGCTGTGGCCAAAAAAAAAAAATCTTATCCTCTGTACTGTATAGTAACAAAATACTCTTGTCTTGCATACACTTTTTCTGATCCCTTGTGGAAAATGAGATTTTATGAAAACAAAAAAGAGGAGGAATTCTAGTTCCCTGTCAGACCTACCCTAGCACTTGGGAGCAGCCAGCTGTTACATCCCCTTGTTTTCTGCAGTGAAGCCAAGGACAGAGAGTAGTCTGTGGAAGTTGTATACTGAAAAACCCAGTATTCAAGATGAAAATATTGCCTGAGACTTACTGAGCATTAAAAGACTTAATGTCTGACTTAATGTCTCATCACATGGAAGTAGTGTGGTGTTTTATGCTCAATACAGAATGTTTTAATCAAAATGAAAGTATTCCTGGGTCTCACTTGATTTATCCTTTTTCTTTCACCTGCTAAGTTGCTGGAAGAGGCCGTGGCAGAGGCCGTGGCAGAGGCCGAGGTCGTGGAAGAGGAAGAGGAGGCCCAAGACGATAACTTCTCATCACGCAACTGTTACCAAATTCTGGGCAATTTCAGATATTTTTTTGTACAGGTCTTGTTTATGGTATCCATTTTTAATAAACTGAAATGTGAAAAGGTCGTCTTTCCTTTGTTAGCAGAGCCTGGGGAGGGAGGTGTGTCCTGTTTCCATGGGCTGTTACAGACTAAGCAGGTCTTGTTGGTGTTGGTTGTCACTGTCAAGATTTTGCCCACCCCTGAAGGCTGTACAATTGCCTCTTGCTTTTTGCCTCAGAATGAGAGACTTACATTGTTGTGCTTTAACGATGTTTGAAATTAATCCTTTTGTAAGGCACTTCCATCTTCTAATGGTTACATAGTTAAGACACTGTATCAAGAACCCCCATCCCATGAGTGTTTCTCAAATGTTCTTCAGAGCGACTTTTTTAAAGTTCATAGATATAATTTTAATGTTTTCTATTACATGAAGCTTACAATTTAAACATGTTGCTTTCTTTATAAAACATATACATGGGGAAATTAACCAGGTCAGTGGAACTGCTGGATTGTTACATCTGATGATTAAAGAATACCTGGATATGAACTTTGTCAAAGCTAATTATATGGCATACTTTTGTTTGGGTGGGGCTCATAAAGCAGCTTTGTCACAGATACCTTCTAGTGTACTTAAAGTGCATCCCTAGAAAATACAAAGTACAGCATAGTGCACAGTTATGTACTGGAATTGGAAGCTTACTTCTTGGGGGGAAAGAACTTGTGCAACTCATATATGTTTTTGTATATATATATATATATAAAGTGCTTTGCTGAACACCAGTATAAAAGAAGCCAGGTGGGCCACATTTATCTCCCAATACCATGCTACTGATTTCTCCCATGTAGGAAAGGGATTATCACATTCTCACTGGCAGACTTCAACAGTTTCCTCTGTTGATGAAATACAGATGTCATTTGAAATAAAGTGCACTCTTAAGTGCAGCTGTCTTGAATGGGTAAGGGATATTTGCCGGTACTTTGGTGCAGGAACATGCTTAGTTGGTTGCTCATGTTTCCACACAGGCAGTGCTACAACAAAGTGGAAAAGAATTACCTAACATGGTGTAATGGGCTGATGAGCTGGTTAATTTGTGCTAACTAGCATTTTGTGAGCTGCTCTTCTGGTTTCCCCCTCTCATACATAGGCTATTTTAAAGCTTCATCTTGTTACAGAAGAGCTTTTTTTTCCCCAAACCATTGTGGAACCTCCCAAGAGCACTTTTTGGTCAATATAGCACCCACCATTCTCAACTCTATAAATAGCTGCTACAAATAATGGTTGCTGCTGTCTTCCAGAAGTGCCCTGTCACTGATGACGGGGGTAAGGTCTTCCCAAATCCAGCTGTCAGCATTCATGCAACTGTTGAAACTCTTTCCCTCTTCAGTCTCTTCCTTATAAAAGTCATTAGTGCCCCCAGGGGTATGCACATGGTGGATGCTGCCACCAGCAGCCCAATCACTGCGAGGGCGTAGCCTGGGTAATCCTTCGTCACCAGCTGCCCCTGCAAGGGAGAGAAGCAGTGTTGGATCTGTGGGTTTGAGAGTCCAGGAGTTGGGTCAGGAGGAAAGCTGTGCACATGGATCTAAGTGGGACTTCTGAGAAGCACTTTCTGGCTGTGCCAGCCCACGACTGCCCTCGGCGCTGTTCTTTGCCCAACCACCCTGAAAACTGACAACAAGAACAGAGCTGCTGACAACAGGATTGGGGGAAATTTCTGCAAGCTTTGGTAAAGAGCGGATTTTGGCTTGATTTGTGTCTCTTAATGAGGTGGCTGGGCCCTGACCTCTGTCAGGCCTCCATGTTCCTCTCCTGGAGGCTGTGGGCTCATGCTGACACCCAGTCAACAGACCAGGCCCGCCATGGGTCCTAAATTGTTTTTGTGTCATGGCCAATTACATATTTTCTTTCTGCACAATGGGAACATTTCCACAAAAGGTTATGGAACCGGTGATTACTTATCCAGTACTAATTTGTGATAAATACACAGTTCAGTATTCGTACAAAAGTGTTCTTGTCCATGAAGAAAAATGGATATGGAAATTATGAAAACCATTCCAGCAGCAGTTCGGTTCTTTTAAAATACCACTAATTTTGTTCAAAATAATACACTTTGAAAGTAGGTTTTTTTTGTTTAAAGTGTTTTTTCAAAGATGATATTTGGGTCATCAACATTAACAATGTTTTACTGTATGAAGGAGTCGATTAAGAATCAGAGGGATGTTAGTTGATTTTACAGAATCATGGCATCATCATTAGGTCAATTTTTCCTTGTTTTTCCTTTCCACAAATTTAGGTGTTGACCCTCACTCTAGCTGCAAGCTTTCCAGTTTTGTGGAACGGTTTAGTTAGGAAGGAAGGCTGTATCCTTGCAGGAACTAGGGAAAGTTTAAAAAAAAAAAACAAAAACCCCCCAAAACTACTTTACCTGTGTGGCATCCCACGCTTGGTATTGCAAGGTTCCTGTGAGGATATAGTCGGTGAGGTAAAATATAAATAGGCTTATAATTAGCAGAGGACTAACAAAGGCCCACATAATTTTCCAATACCAGTTTGGCTTGCGTCCAATCATGGTGTAAAGATCTTTCTCAAATCTGTGTTGAAAAAAAAAGCATATTTTTTGAGAACAGCTGCATATGTTCAATCGATATCTTTTTCTGAGCTACTTCAAAACCACCTGCAGAATTCCATGTCAGATGAGAAAGGGGAGTACAGTTCACCACAAATGAGCAGAGAGGTATTGTCTGAAGAACTGGCTCACCAGACTCATCATGAGGGTGAAATCAAAACAGACAGTAGGACTTCCAAGAGAACCCCAAACTGCGGAGAATAGCTAGAAATAGGTACAGCAAGAAAAGTTCTGGGTTGAATATAAGTTCAGGGTGTTTCTGATGTCAGTTAAGAGAGAAAAGCAATGATGCTCAAGTATTATGGAGAGAAAACTGCTGGGTTTTGTGTAGTTGAGTTGTTCTGACTGCTGTCTTTGAGGAAGTACTAATGCTGGGGAGTGTACCTAAAATCTCACAGGAGACCTGGATCTGACTGGAAGGCGTTGAACTCATCAAGGACGTAATACCCTTGTAGGTGCCTGTACATGTACTGTGCTGGCAGACTAACAAAGAAAATGCTGAAGCCTTTTCCTTTAGATGCCATGAGCACAAACACCTCTGCAGTTCAAAACCTCTCCTGATGCCAAAGCTTTCTTTTGCCCACAAGGGATGACTTGGGACACCAGCAATCTGTGAGGTGACCACCTTTGAAACCAAACTTACTGGCACTGTTGTGCTCATGCTGAACTACTGTCACGGGAGGAGCAGAGGTTTGGCAGAAGGTGCTCTTGAGACCAAAGACCAGAGGAGGGAGCAGGTGTGTACGGCTCATTAGCACTCGCCTGCCAGCAGAGGTGGTGTCAGCCCAGCCTGGCCTCTGTACAGCCCTGAACCAAGGCCCTGGAAGGGGTCTGCAGGGCAGGGGAGACCCCCATCGCCTTGCTGATACTATAGCATAGGAGAAACATACAGCCTAGGGCAGTATTTTTATTCTTAGCCCTGCGTGTCCTGGCTCTTGGCCACTCCCCCTGCTATCCCACTGTAAAGAAAGAAGGATTCAAGCTTTTACCTTCTTATCCCATAGATGTAACACACAGCGATGGTTTCGACCAGCACAATGAGCAGCAGAGAGAGGGTGGCTGCATAGTCATTGAATATGTCAAACCAGTAATTTCCAGCCTCCATGGTGAAGATCAGGCCAATCACACAGTTAATGAAACACACAACACCTGCATGGATAAAAGAGAGACCCTGCCATTACACTTGGAAGTCTAATTGTGTGTGGGAAATGTCATACTCCTTCTGACTAAAAAACTCGTAGAATTTCTGCTGAGCAGCTTTCTCTGAGGAGAAGGATAATTCCTTTTCCCTTACGGAAAAGATCTATCTCTTTGCATGTGTGACTGTGCTGGTGTGTCCTTAAACTGCTCCTCAGACCTGCATAGTCACAGGACATCACTCCAGAAACGGTCAAGACAACGAAGTCTTGGCTATAGCCTTGTCACATGTGCATGCAGTATCTGGTGTTGCCACTGGGCATCCTGCTAAAACAGGTTTTAAGATGGGACAACTGATTTCCATGCCTGAACAGGAGCACATATTACTTTTGGCCAAAGACAGGTGTTTTGCCTTTGGGATACTGGTGATGTGACTAAAGAGCTGCTCACTGCAAGTATCTTTACACTTATACTGTCTCTGAGTTTCATCAGTCAGTAGACACCAGTATGAAGGAGCTGGGGTGTGTCGGGAAGCCTGTAAATACAGAACCACAATTGTGCTAGTGCTTTGGGAGCTCCGGAGGGAAGTGCTTTGAAGGCAGGGCAGGATTTCACAAAGGCAGGCAAACCTTTCCAGCAGCATATTTACTGCTCCCTGCTCCACTCAAGGTCAGAGGGGGATCCTCAGTGGCAGTGGGACATCAAAGCCTTTGCACACACGCACTGTGCGGCCTATGCTGTGACACGGCAGGCGCTTACCTGAGATCACCTCCTTGGGGAAGCGGGCGCCAATGGCTCTGCTGTCGGTCAGCGGTGTGAGGATGGCGGCCGTGTTCCCCAGCATGCTGCCGATGCCCAGCATCAGCAGCATGAAGAAGTAGAGCACAGAATACAGCTGGGGCACCTCCATGTTTTTGATCGCTTCAGAATAGACTATAAATGCCAGTCCTGTCCCCTGGACAGCCTGTTGGAGAGAAGGGGAGAAAAATGAGTTACGGGCAGCTCCTTATCCTTGATAAAGGACATAAGATGGACATAAGAGAGTGACTCTGTGTCGTGACAAGGTACATGTGCAGTGGTGGCTGTGCACAGCAAAAGCAGATGAGATTCTTGCCAGTTTATCCAAACTGCACGGACACTGGCGTAATGTCACTTGTAGCAAAAAAACATTTACCCCATATCTTTGTGACCTGCCCTGTTCCACAGCCAGAGCCAGCAGTCAGACTGCACTGCCACCCAGCTCAGCTGCTAACCACTCAGGCAAGCCCCTTGCCCCATCCTGAGGGGTAGAAATGATCCCCAGCCCTGGTCAGGCATGCGGATGTGCTCGCATGGGGCTGCCCGGGCTCAGTGGGAGGAGAGGAGACAGCACAAAGTGGCAACTCACTGTGTCTAGCTCAGCTTCTAAACTGCAGTTTTTAATCTGAGGCGCTAATTGGGCATATTCCTGTGGGTAGGTGGCCATGAGGTAGTCTTTCTTCTCACTGAGGTTGTCCGCTGTCAAAGAGCCTTCCTCCAGGTCAAAAGCATTCAGCAGCAGCAGGATCACCCTGGGAAGGATTGCAGGCATTTAATGGCTTTCAGACCCAGAATACCTCATTCCCTTCTCCATCAGTGCCCAGGACACCTCATCCCCTTCTCCATCGGTCCCCACATGTGGATGTCCTGCTGGCCCCAGGGATCCAGTCTCCCCAGGTGAGAGCCATGGCACTTCCAGAATGGGATATGGGCAATCTTGCACTTATCTGTGCTTTGTAGGGAGCAGCTCCTGCACCCACACTGTGCTCCCAGGCAGGTATTTTGGGTGCCAGCCAGCGCTGGCTAGTGTCTCTTCCCCTTTGCCCTCCAATCTCACGTCCACACCCCATCAACATAATGAGCCTTTTGGCAACGAGCAGGGACTAGCAGCTTGGTTTCCTCTCTGATCAGCAGATAGATTGAAAGCTCTAAAAATATGAGTAAAAGTGTAACTGCTGCAGGCCCTGTGCCAGGGACTTCATGCAAGCTTGCTGCCTCAGGACACAATCCTGCAGGCTCCTAGACACCTCCAGAGCATCACAGCTGAGGAGGCTGAGCTCCTGGAACAGGGCTTAGCCTTAATAGTGGGGTGTCTGAGCATTGCTGCATTTTATTAATCAGTCTCCCCACTCCCTACAACATGTGCCAGGACCAGGACACAGGGGACAGTGCCTCTATGACTTGCCCAGGCAAACATTCTCTCGACAAGGCCCGTGCCTGGAAGCAGCACCCAAGTGTCAAGAGGCAAGTCACTCTGACCTTTCATCTCGGGCTTCATCACTTTAAATAGCTCCATTAGCTTTATTAGAGCAGTATCTGGTCTTGGGGCAGTGCTGGCAGCACTGCATGCTGTTATTTATTTACCTCCCCTCTCACCTGCCCCAGAACGGCTTGCAGTGGGAAACGAGTGGAACACCAGGCTCTTACTTGTTTATACAGCTCTCATAGTTAAAGGTCGCCTTGAAGCCGTAGATGGAGAAGGTCACAATGCTGGCAAAGATGGAGGTGGTGCTGTTGATGAGCGAGACAATGATGGCATGTCTCTCGCAGTTGTTGCTGGGCTCGTTGTAGCTGGCAAAGGCAATGAGGCTGCCGAAGCCAAGGCCCAGCGAGAAGAAGATCTGCGTGGCAGCGCTGATCCACGCCTTGGGGTTCAACAGCTGCTCCAGCTGCAAAGCCAGACCCAGAGAATGAGAGCATAAAGCTACATATGGATTCCCAGCAATGCCCCTTCCAGGCTGCATGGGTGGGGACAGGGATGGGTCCCTTTGTGCACTCGTTTTAGTTCAGGGTTTTTTTTAGGCAGGGTTACTTATATGACTGAAAGTAGTATGCTATAGGCTATGCTAATGGGCAGGTCTTTTTCTGCAGGAGAAAGCAAGCAGCTTACGGGCACCATGGCAGAGCAGCTGCCACTCCACTCCCACTCCTGGAAATTGCCAGGGTTTCCAGCTGCCTGACCTACGCTACTGCTGCAAAAATTCAATATAAGGAAAAGCATCAACAGCTTTTAAAAACCTACACGTTCAGTAAGTAATAACATTTCGTGAAAAATTCAATAGAGTTTTTCTGTACCTTTGGTGTGAACATGTAGAAAAGACCGTTCACAGCTCCATGAAGTGTTAATCCTCTGATGAGGTATATGATGAGAACACAGTATGGCAAAGAGGCTGTCACATAGACGACCTGAGGAAGGAGGGGAAACATCTTGGTCTAAAGAATATATAAGACAAAGCTAATCCACTATGGTCAGTCTTATTTACTTTACATAAATTATTTCAATTATTGTGTTTGTTCTCATGTAATAATCTTTAAAGAAATATTTTCAGACAAATCTAACTTTAGATTTACATTTTAAGGAAGCAAGTTTTTATTAAAAATGAAGACCTGTGCTACTGTTCCCAGGGTCTTCTCTTTGACTGGAAATCAAAGAAAAGTCTAAAATATTTGCAGCATTCACAAACTCAGTTCTGCATCATTTAGTGGAGTAACACCAGTGTGCAACTGTCTATTAAGAACTCATTAGGCAAAGGTCATTCATCATTTGCTCTAGGAGGAAGGCAAGCAGACCTCATAGAAGGTCAAAATCAAACTTGAATTGAATCAAATTGAATCAAAATTGAATTGAATTAGTTGCAACAAGTTTAAGAGGTTATTCTTAGTTTATAGTCTCTTGGCTTTCTGTGTTCAGCTAAGACGATTTGGGGATTACAGCCCTCAGCTTGCTGCTTAGTGCAGGCTCAGCCAGGACATTGGGGTTTTTCTTCCCACTTCCTCATAACTTGTGCTGTGAATAAAAGGCGAGCAAATCATGCCCGGTAGATGTCTTTTTTTTCTTGCAAAGACCAAGGAATAGACGTCTCCTGACATGGCTCTGCTGTGGCAGACAGCTTTCCTCACGGCCAGCAGCCTGACCGTGGTTTTGCTGCATTTACAGGACTTTTCTGGATTATTTTTTTAGTATCACTCAGTGTTTTGGTTGATCCTGCTCGAATTGCAACTTGACAGGGCAGTAGAGGCAGCAGAGCTCGGTGCTCTGCAGCCATGGCCACTGCTTTGGGCACTCGTTTGCCCTCCCCACATCCTGCCCAGGCTCGGCAGGGCTGTGCCCCTCTCTCACCTTGCCAGTGGAGGCGGTGCCACGGAGGATGCAGAGATAAACCACCAGCCAGGCCAGTGTCAGGCAGAGCGCCTGCTCCCACTGCACGCTCCCGCTGGCCTCCAGTGATGGAGAGATGTTCAGGGTCTGCCGGTACCAGAAGTACTGGGTGGATGACGTCCTCTCACACTCCTCCTCGTAGCCGGTGCGGTTGCTGTTGAGGGGGCAGGTGGCCCATGGCAGGGGGTCCTAGGAGAGAGGGGCATGGAGTCAGCATGGCAGGGAGAGCTGAGGTGCCGGTGAGGCATGGGGAGGATGATGGCGAGGGTGCCTTTCTGCCTGGGGCTTGCATATCTCTGCACGGTGCTGCCTGGGGCGCAGGAGGACCCTCTCCCCTAGGGGTGATGTCTTCTGACACTTTCCCCTGGGAAGGACCCTCTCCCCAGGGACTGATTTGTTCTGATCCTCTCCTGTGGGGATGACCCTTTCTGACCTTCTCCCCAGGGATAATTCTGCTCTGTCTCTTCTCTGGGAATGACCAGACTGATTTTCTTCCTGAGGACTGAGCCTCTTTAACCCTCTCCCCCAGCGATGACACTCTCCACTCCTCTCCCCCACAGCCAATCCTCTCACATTCCATCAGACAGACCCATCCAAGGATGTAGGACACCCTGGCCATCAATGCATCACAGGGTTTGACCTGTTTGACCTGTGATTGATGGCAAGAAGACAACATCCAACACCCCTGGGAGAGCAGACAGAGGAGGACACCACTGCCTCATTCTTCTCTCCAGAAAAGCCCTGGGTGGGTTTATGGAGCTTTTGCCACTGATCCACCTCTGCTCTACAGCTGACGATGGTGCCATGCAACATCCAGCATCAATGCCAAGCCACCATGACCCTCCATGGCCACAGTGGGGCCAAACTGAGCTGTTGAGTGCCCACACACCTGGAAGGAGTGGAAAAGGTACCAGAAGGCCCAGGCGTTTATCACGTTGTAGTACATGGAGAGGAAGAAGGAGACGACAACACTGGCAACACCTGCAGGTATGGAGGGACACACTTGGTCAGCAGCAAAACCCCAAAATGCCCAGGGTCTCATAACACCTGGGGGGTGTGGGGTGGGGGCAGCATCACCATGCCCAATGCAGGAGGGGCTTTGACCCTGCACAGCTGTGTGCACAGGGCAAGTCCCTGGCGCTGCATCCACCTCCTCCTCCTGCCAGGACTATCCTGCACTGGATTTTATACTTTAGGCCCTGGAGGTGAATAGTCAAAGTATCATTAAAAATATATTGTGTGTGTATGCAAATTAACAATAGCTTGGGTTATCAGGGTAATTTAATAACATAATAATGTAGCTAAGAAAGGACACTGGTAAGTGGCAGACAGCAACAGCAATGGTAGGAAATTAAGGCACTGTTTTATCATTCATATTGAGTTCATTGGGAAGTTGCTCTTGGGGTCAAAGCCCAGTGCAGGCAGCCCCAGGGAATGCCAGCACTGGCATTCACACTGTGATTTTGGCAGGTTGCCCAAGGGCAGGGGGACTTACACCTCTGAATGCAGGGACCCAACACAGTGAGTTGGGGTCTAGTCCCAATGCCCTGCAAGGGATGGGATAAATGCATGCCATGAGGTGTCTGCTTTGCTCAGCCTGCTGAGGCCCAGTAGAACCCCAGCTCCCTCCTGGTTTCTCCTCTGAAAGACAAAGCTCTCCATTCAAAAATCACCCATGTTCTCTCCATGCTGGAAAATGAAGATGAAAACTGAGAACATACCAACACCACAAAGGTAGGGGCTTATCATTTTCCAGGCGCCGATGCTGCCCTGACGCATACGCTGCCCCACAGCCAGCTCCAAGTAGAGCAGTGGCATCCCCTCGGCAATCAGCATGATAAGGTACGGGATCAAAAAGCCACCTGCAAAAAAACCCCCAAAAGTCAGCCTTCAGCAGATCAGCAGCAAGATAAACACCACGTTGCCCTATTTGTGGTCAAATCATGCTGTCAGTGTCCCAGGGGCTGGCTGGGTCTGGGTCCTGTCCAGGCACCTTGTGTATTGAGGGCATGGCCCAACCCTGAAGGAGATGTCACAGGGTTTCAGGCTGGTGTCACAAGTTTCAGGTGTCACATAGGCTGGTGGGTGCTGACTGCCCGGGCACAGGGAATTTTCCGCAGGAACTTGGCAGAGCTGGGATTTCTGCTGTTAAACTGTGTTGGTCACCACTCCGGTGTGGCAGGGCTACCTAGATGCATCACCAGCGGTTTGAGCAAAGTTGGGGGCTGGGGCTGTTAAAGGGTAACCAAACACCAGCCAAACCTTGTAAACTATAATGAGAGAAAGAGGACAAGGAAAAGATTTACTTCATGTGGGGTATTTTGCGTCACAGCCAAAGTGCTCGAAGAAAAAGTAACAGCAATGTCCATGTTGAATGGAGAGTTTTGAGTTACATACTGAGGTCTGGCCTGGCTTAAAAAAAAACACAAACAAACAAACAAAAAAGCAAACCAAAAAGCTCCCAAAACCCCATGCTGATCCCACAAGCACCAGGAGAGGGATGAAGGCTTTTCCCCCAGGGTCCCACCTGCAGGAACAGACTCTGCTATGGGAGGCACAGGCTCCCCTGCATGGGGCTGCTCATCCCTACTTCTTCCCCACATGGAGAGCCACAGGGATGCTCCTATGGAAGAGGAGAAGCAGCAGGAACGGGTTGACAATGAAGAAGGGGAAAGGACCTTCCCACTTGGCAACCAGGATGTGCTTTGGCTTAAATTTCTGCCAAAAAAAAAAGAAAATCCTTGTACTCAACTTGGGGCTCACAGGCTCGCTTCAGAAAGAGCTGCTGACTGAGTCAAAAGCTGTATTTTTGCGAAGGCTTCCCTTTTTACAGCAAGCCAAAATATTTACGTAAATATCTCTTATTCAGTATTTAATCTGTGGCATTAACATTCCTTGCAATGGGCTCTGTGCAGTGCTGTGGAGGAATGAACTCTGGGCAGCGACTGAGGAAAAGAACTGGAAATAAACACAGAGCAATAATCCGGTTTATTCTGGGAATTAATTTCCCACCTCCCAGCTCTCTTGTTATTAACAACCCCTTTGTTAGCCTGTTAGATAACTTCCTATGCCACAAGGGAGCTGCTGGAGGTTTAAGAGCTCCCACAGCTGCTCTGTGCCGGCAGGGTGTGAGCTGCCCCAGCAGCCACTGAGGAGAGTTTTGCCATGCACCACCAGAGGGAATCAGCATTAGACTCTCTGTGAAGGCTTTTCTGCTCTCCCAGCAGTGCTTCCACATGCTTGGCATTGACTTAACCACCTTGCAAGCAGCAGGAATGTCTTCAGGCGTGCTCTTCACTCCCATGTCCCCCTGCAGCTGGGGGTACCAGGGCTAATCCCCCTGCCCCTTGCTCTGCACCCTGTTTGCATGCAGATCTTGCTCCCAACCCTACTTTCCTAAAGGGTAGAACCACATTGCCTCATACAAGTGACTCAGTGCAGCTGTATGAACCAACTCTTTATTTGCTGTGACTCAGCACAGCAAAAACCAGACCCCAGGCCAGATCCCTGCAGTTGGCAAAACATGGAATGTGCCCTGGGCCTGCTCAAGGCACTGGACTTGTCCAGCAGCACCCTCGCCTCTGCTCAGCGTCCTGCTGTAGACCCATCCCAGTCTCCTGCTGTAGACCCATCCCAGTCTCCTGCTGTAGACCCATCCCAGTCTCGTTTCAGCCTGGCCCAGCTTGCTTAGGGACAGAATAACTGCACCTGTGAGGTTTAACCTCCCCTTGCTCTGCTCAGGCCAAGCTCTCTGGAGAAGAGCAAGGAGAAGGAGGCAATCTGCTGATGAACAGAAAGGCAGGTTATAAAGCAATATAATTTGTAAATACTGCAAATTATCAGTATCATACGCAATAAGGGCTCTATTGTTCTGCTGGGCAGGACAGGAACTGGCTCTGTGCTTTTCTAAAAGGAAGATGCCAAACAAGCTGACGTCCCCCCTTATCCAGCTTTTAAGTTCCTGAAACCATGTCCTGTCTGCGTTGTTTTTGTGGACCCCTGGAAAGCCACAGAATCCTAATTAAGAAGGCAGTGAATAGAAGAATTAAGAAAAGCAAAACCTCCTGTCAGGAGTTTCAGCTTCACAGTAGAGAAAGAGCTGCCCTTCCCTATGTAAATTTAACTGGGGAAGAGAAAATAATGGAGAGTGTAATGGAAAATAATGGAAAAATATTCTTATAAAAACATGCCTTTCAAAAAATACTTGGGTTTATCATAGAATCATACAATAGTTTGAGCTGGAAGGGACCTTCTAAACGTCATCTAGTCCAATGCCGTGCAACAAGCAGGAAAGTTTATTTAATTTTATTTCAAGTTAATCAAGTGTTCCAGTTTTGGTTACATTTCAGAGAATTTTTACTATCCACTGCAATACAGATGGCTGGTCAAAAGAACCACACAAATCCCCCAAAATGTCCAAGTTTTGCTGTCCTTCAGGATGTCTGCCAAGATAGCCTGCTAGCAAAGTAATCACATGCAGTTTAATTGCATACAGAAACACTCGCATTTTAAGCTTTGTGCTAGAGTTCAGTGTCAGACATGAAGTCTTTACCCTTAAAGCATGGGTGGAGGAATACATGCAGAATTACAGCAGAATTACACCTATCATTCCTGCTATCTAAACCACCTAACAAAGCTTCAGCCACTGCAGCATCTATCTTCTACTGAACTTCATCTATTGTATTATTTGGATTTTTCTGACCCGATCCCAGGGGACAGCTCTGACACAGTCTCAGCACTGTGGCTTTTCAAAAACCAGCATGAACCAACCCTTACTGCCACACATGCATTTAGAAGTAAGCTACAAGCCAACAAAACAAGCATAAAAGAAGTAAAAAGCACTCAAATATCTCCATATGTTTCTTCCTGAAAGGAAAAAAAAGATGGAAGCAGACCAAAGGCAGATGAGGCAGATGCTCATGTCCCTTGCAGATGTCCCTTACTGCAAGGCTGAGGAGAGTCCAACACTATGATAACAGATGCAGTGAGAACAATAAAAAACTTGGATGTCTTATAAAGAGAGGCTCTTTATAAGGATTTTTCAAAACAGCGGTAGCTGTATATTAGAGGAGATTATTAGTGTTGGTCTTTAATTAATCTAATTAACTAACTTGATTTCTAAGGAAGAACATCTATGGCTGGTATATGATACAGACATCATCTTTGTGCTATTTGGACCCAGGAGAAGGATAAAATTTCAAAAAGCTTTTTTTTTTTTTTGAGCCCAAATCAATGTATTCTCTATTTTC